AGGTATGTGCCTTGTATCCCTGACCTCTTCAAGACTTTAAACATAATTGGTGTTGGATTTGTCAAATGCTTTTTTGGCATCTAAGGAGATTATCGTGTGTTTTTTCTCCTTCAGTGGATTTATATGATGCATTACATTGATGGATTTCTGTATATTGAACCACACCTTCATTCCTGGAATGGGATGAAGCCTGCCTGTTTATATTGGATGATATCTTTTATGTGTTCTTGGATTCAGTTTGTAAGTATTTTATTGAGTACGTTTACATCAATGTTCATATGACAGATAGGTCTGATGCTCTCTTTCTTTTGTTGGGTCTTTGTATGGTTTAGGTATCAAGGTGACTGTGGCTTCATAGAATGAGTTTGGTAGTGTTCCTTCTGTTTCTATTTTGTGGAATAGTTTGAAGAGAATTGGAGTGAGCACTTCTTTGAAGGTCTGGTAGAATTCTGCACAGAAACCATCTGGCCCAGGCCTTTTTTTGGAAGGGAGATTCTTGATGACTGCGTCAGTTTGCTGGGGGGATATAGGACTATTCAGTTTTTCTACCTGATCCTGACTTAATTTTGGTAAATGGAATCTATCAAGAAAATTGTTCATTTCATTTAGATTTTCAAATTTTGTGACATGTAGCCTTTTGAAATATGACCTAATGATTGTTTGGATTTCATTAATGTCTGTAGTTATATCCCCCTTTTTATTTTTGATTTACTGATTTTGATAGTTTCTGTCTACCTTTTAGTTAGTTTGGCTAAGGGTTTGTCTATCTTGTTGATTTTCTCAAAGAACCAGCTCTTGGTTTCATTGATTATTTGAATTCTTTTATTTGATACTAAAATATTGATTTTATTCCTCAGTTTGATTATTTCTAGCCTCTGCTCCTCTTGGGTGTATCTCTTTCTTTTTTTTTTTTTTTTCTCTAGGGTTTCAGTTGGACCATTGTGCTGTTTGTATGACATGTTTCAAATTTCTTCTTGCAAGCAATTAGTGCTATGAATTTTCCTCTGAACACTGCTTTCTTTGTGTCCCATAACTTTGGGTAAGTTGTACCTTCATTTTCACTGAATTCTAGAAAGTGTTTAATTTCTTTCTTTAATTTTTTCTTAACCCAGCTGTCATTGAGTAGCGAGTTGTTCAGTGTCCATCTGCATGTAGGCTTTTTGCTATTTCCATTTTTGTTGAGGTCCAGCTTTAGTCCATAGAATACAGGTGATTATTTCAATCTTCTTGTATATGTTGAGGCTTGCTTTGTGACCAACTATATAGTCTGTTTCAGAGAAGGTTCCATGAGGTGCTAAAAAGAATGTATACTCTTTTGAGTTTGGGTGAAAAGTTTTATAGACATCTATTTTTTAGGACCTCTATAAGTGCCTTTATTTCCTTATTTGGCTTCTTTCTAGATGATCTGTACCTTAGTGAGAGAGGAATTTTGAAGTCTCCCACTATTAAGGTGTTGGGATCGATGTGTGATTTAAGCTTTATTAATGGTTCACTAACAAATGTAGGTGCTCTTGTATTTGTGGCATAGATTTTCAGGATTGTGATGTCCTCTTGGTGGATTTTTCCTTTAATGAGAATGTAGTGCCCCTCCTCATCCTTTTTGATTAATTTTGGTTGAAATTCTATTTTATTAGATTTTAGGATAAGTATCCATCCCAGCTTGTTTTCTATTTGCTTGAAAAATATTTTTCTAGCACTTTATTCTGAGGTAGTGTTTATATTTGTTTCATAGGTGTGTTTCCTAGATGTAGCAAAATGTTGGATCCTGTTTCTGCAACCATTCTGTTAGTCTGTGTCTTTTTCTTGGAGAGTTGAGTCCATTGATGTTAATAGATAATAGTGACCAATGAAAGTTAATTTCTTTTAGTGTGGATTTGGTGGTCTCACTGTGATTCATTGCTTGTATTCTTTTGATTTTTTGTTTTGTAGTTATCTATACCTTATGTTTTCTTGGGTGTAGTTTTTTCATTGAATTGGAGTTTTCCTTCTAGTATATTCTGTAGGGCTAGGTTGCTGTGTAGATATTGTTTACGTTTGTTTTTTTTTTTTCATGGAATATTATGTTTTCTCCATCTATGTTGATTGAAAGCTTTGCTGGGTATAGTAGTCTGGGTTGGCATCTGTGGTTTTTTAAAGTCTGTATGACATCTGCCCAGGCCCTCTGTCTTTCCTATTTTCTGTTGAGAAATCTCGTGTGATTCTGATAAGTCTAGCATTATATTACTTGGCCTTTTTCCTTGTTGCTTTTAATATTTTTCTTTGTTCTGTAGGTGTAGTGTTTTGACTATGATGTGACGTGAGGAGTTTCTTTACTGGTCTAGTCTATTTGGTGTTATGTAGGCCTCTTGTATGTTTATAGCTATCTCTTTCTTTAAGTTGGGAAAATTTTCTTCTAAGTTTTTCTTGAAAATATTTTTCGGAACTTGGAGTCTTGTATCTTTTTTTTTTTTTTTCATCTACTCCTATTATTCTTACATTTTGTCTTTTCATGGGGTCTGATTTTTTTTTATTGTTTGTTATTACTAGTTACATTTTATTAACTCTTTTTCCCAGCTGTATCCCGCTCCCTTATTTCCTCCCATTCCCACCCTCCCTCCCTCAGCTTCTCCCTGCCCCTTTTCAAATCCACAGATTGGGAAGGACCTCCTCCCCTTTCATCTGGCCCTGTTTTATAAGGTATCTTGAGGGTTGGCTGCGAAGTCCTCCTCTGTGGCCTAGCAGAACTGCTCCTCCCTTGTGGGGTGGAGAGTCAAAGAGCCTGTCATTGAGTTCCTGTCAGAGATAGTCCCTGTTCCCCTTACTGTGGGAAACCAATTGGTTATTGAGCTACCACGAGCTTGTCCGAGTAAAGGTTCTAGGTTATATCCATACATGGTCCTTGGTTGGAGAAACAGTATCAGAAAAAAAACCCTGTCCCCAGATATATTTGGTCCTTGTGGGGCTCCTATCCTTTCCACGTCATACTAACTCCTCTTCTGCCAAAGGTTTGGTTATGAGTCTTACTATCTGTTTTGAAACGCTGTTTGGTAGGGTCTTTCAGATGCCTTCTGCGGTAGACTCCTGTCATATGTCCAATGCACATCTCATTTGTCTTTCTAAGTGAGGATTGATCATCTTACCTTGTGTCTGCTTTCTTGTTTATCTCCTTTAGGTGTATAGACTTCATTATGCTCATCATATCTTATAGGACTACATGAGTGAGTATATACCATGTTTGTCTTTCTCCTTCTGGGATACTTCACTCAGAATGATCTTTTCTAGATCCTACCATTTGCCTGCAAATTTCATGATTTCCTCCTTTTTGATTGCTGAGTAGTATTCCATTGTGTAAAAATACCACAATTTCTGTATCCATTCCTCCGATGATGGACATCTGGGTTGTTTCCAGGTTCTGGCTATTACAACTAAAGCTGCTACAAACATGGTTGAGCAGATGTCCTTGTTGTGTACTTGAGCAAACTTTGGGTATATACCTAGCAGTGTTATAGCTGGGTCTTGAGGAAGCGTTATTCCTAATTGTCTGAGTAAGCACCAGATTGACTTCCAAAGTGGTTGTACCAGCTTACATTCCCACCAGCAATGGAGGAGGGTTCCCCTTTCTACACAGAGGTCTGATTTCTTGGATGTTTTGTGTTTATAACTTTTCCAACTTTACCAATTTCTGCAACTGTATCTTCAGCACCCCAGATTCTCTCTTCCCTCTCTTGTATTCTGTTGGTGATGCTTACCTTTGTGGTTTGTGAATTTTTCTCTAAGTTCTCCAGCTCCAGGGTTTTCTCTGATTGTGTTTTCTTTACTGCATCTACTTCTGTTTCCATGACTTGTACCATTCCCTTCATATATTTGAATGTGGATTCCTTTCTTTCTATAATGGCTTCTATTTTTTTTTTGTTTCCTCTCTATATGCTGCTTATTGTGCCTCTAATTGTTTAGCTGTATTTGCCTATATTTCTTTGAGAGCTTTGTTTATTTACTCTTTATTTGCCTCTACTTGTGTGGCTATTTTTTGAGAGAGTTGTTCATTTCCTCTTTATTTTCCTCTATTTCTGTGCCTATTTCTCTGAGTGATTTGTTTATTTCCTCGTTATGAGCCTCTAATAACTGGATAAGCATAGTTTTAAAGTCTTTTTCATGTGTTTCCGATGAATTGATTTGTCCACTGATTTTGGGGGTTGTTGGTGATGCCATGAAGTACTGATTTTTTGGTGGTGTGTTCTTACGCTGGCCTCTGGCTATCTGCTTATCTGTAGCCCTCACTCTTTGTTCTTGGAGTCTGTACTCCAGAGGGGGTTTGTTTTTTTTCTAGTGTCTGGAATATTTTTCAGGAAGTTGATAGAGGTCCACTGTTTTGAGAGTGTGTGTTGATGTTTCAGCTGTACCTAAGGGAGGAATGTGATGCTGGTGCTATTTGCAGGTGCTGTTAACTGATGCATTGTGCAGGCGCAGATTCCTTGACTACCTCAGTGGCATAAAGGCCACTGGTAAGCAGATCTGCCTGGGCTCCAGGAATTGTTTGACTGGAATTCACTAGTAGACCTGCAGAGCAGGGGCTTCAATGTTGAGAACGTTGTCCCAAGAATCCATATGTTGCCCACAGTGGGGGTGTGCATGGTAGGGATCTGAAGTCTGGTTGCTTGCATAGAGGGACCTTAGATTCTGAGGTTCTGCAAGCACCCACTTGAACACACATCACTCTCTAGCAGTACCAATAGGAAAGCACAGGGGTTTCCCTTGTTCTCTACACTCAGATTTGATCCTGCTTGGACAAATGAGGGTGTAGGCGATCAGTCATTTCAGTGATACTGTAGCTGCAGAACTTGGTGCCTGCCAGCACTGTGTGCTGTGCTAGGAACCACTGGCACTGGGGGCCAGGCTCTGTGTTCTGTGGCAGATGCTGTGGACCACCTCTGTAGCCTTCATCTCCATTAGGAAAGGATTATGATGGCTGGTCCCGGGGAAGTGCTGGAAGGGACGAGGTAATTGAGTATTCTCTTTCCCAGGTCCGGAGCTGGAGTTTCTTTGCTCAGAGCAGCTGGCACTGGGGATCTGTGGTGGATGCTGTGGACCACTTTCATCCCTTTTCTCCCTGGAAGCCTCCATGTCATTGCTCTGGGTTCAGCAGCCCCTCCTCTCATCAATTTCAGAGTTTTAAATCCTCTGCCTCTCAGCTATGGAGCATGTTAGTCACCGCCACTTGGGATCAACCTGCTCTCAAAATTGTTATGTATAAATAGTTCATTGTTTAAACTTAATGATTTTTTGTTCTTCCACCACCTCCATGTACATTAGCATATCTGTCATTGTCCTTGTTCAGCATATATTTGTGTTTATGTGTGTAGCAGAAAAAAATAATAATTAAAAAGATTATGAATATGAAAAAGAACCGAAAAGGAGTATGTGGGAGGTTTCTTCCTTATCAAGGAAGATAAGGAGAAGAATTATGTTACTATGGTATTAACTCAAGAAATAAAGAAAATCAACAAAATACACTGGAGAAAAAAAGTCATCTTCAACAAATGGTGATAGGAAAACTGGATGCACACATTCAGAAGAATTAAATTACACCCATATCCACTAGCTTCACTTTTTTTGTTTAACAACTACAACAAAAGAGCTGCAACCACTGAATGATTAAAGGACAGTGTTGAGTGTTATATTTTATGTTTAATATATTTTAGTTGATTTTGTATAGAAACGATCCAGGTTTCCATATATCGCAAAAGAATATCTACTTTTTCATATGTCACTTTTAAAAATAAGCAGCTCTTCTCCTGTGTACTGTTTGGGACAGAGTTGAGATCACACAAACCACATGCTCAACCTCTATGAAAAGAATCTTAAACAAATATTACATTGTGGCCAGTGACACAATAAAATGTCTCTATTAAATGGCTTAAAGTATCCTGCTTACAGCTTCATTATCTTTGTTAAAGGTTTATATGGCTATTTTGGGTATCTTGAGGAAATTATTTTTCTGTATCTGTGAAAATAAAACAATATTTCTTGTTTTGTGTTGTTTGCTTGTTTCTTTTGAATTTTTTTTAAAATAACAGAATTGTATTCAATTTGTAGATCATTTTCCTTATTGTTATGTTAGGAATCATGAAATTTGCTTGCTAGCCTATGGCAAGTTAGAGTTGGCTTACAGAAATAGGGCCAAGTGGAAATATGGTTAATACTACTGTCACCCTAATATGATTTAGAACAACCTAGGAGACAAAACTCTGACCCATCCCGCAGTTTTGTCAATGGAGATCCTGAATGGGGGAGTGGGAATGAAAAAGGGGACAAGGGCACAAGAAATGAAGACCAAGACAGTATCTCTGATCAAAGTCTCCATTTATTCGAGTTTTCCATACAACTATATAGGCAGAAGCAGAAGAAATGTAATTGCCTTTGGCAGGGTTACTAAGTGACTAGAAATCACAGGATGGCCCACCAAGATGTGCTAATAATAGTAATTTGGAAAGTTCCTCAGAAGAGTTACTTAGGAAGCCTGAGGGGGAGGAGGATTTAAGGTATTTCAGGAAGATGATCTTATCGAAAGCCCCAGGTCAGCCAGGAATGCACTATTGTATCCAGGCAATAGTCTGGTCAAGCCAGCTGCCAAAATTTAGTGGGCAGCAAGGTGCCAGAAGGCCCCATACAAAACTCTGTGCATGAATATGAATGAGGTCCTAGCTTGGGTTAATTGAGTTAAAAAGACACACCTTATGTGTATGTTGCATCAGTCCATGTACTCAAATTTTAGACTGAATAAAAAATAGATAACTAAGCATCACCATTCATTTGTCTTGTTCCTGACTGCAGAAGCAATTTGGTCAGCTTCCTCAAAGTCCACGGCCATGACTTTCCCTGCCACAATATAGTATAGCCTAGAACAATGATTCAAAGCAAATCCTTCTTCGTGTATTCTCTTGGGTGCTTTGTGACAACAAAGAATTCATCAAATTGATAAAGAAGAGTGCGGGTAAAGATGTGATGACCATAACCGTGTAGGGAATAAGCATTTTCAACAAGTTTGTGGGATAAATGTGAAAGGACTTAAAACTTTAGATGAGAAAACATGGCATTTTTCAAAGAAAACTATATGGGGTATTTATATGCAAGGCTGAAAGAGGATAATGGAGAAAGATATGGTGGTAATCTGGCTCACAAGGTTTTAGCTGAGACTAAGGATAGTATCCAGAACAGGTGTGTTTCTCTACCACTCAATATTTAGGAGGATCCTGGCTAAGATTATCAACTCTCACTAAGACATTGGAAGAAGGGGAAAAAAAGGCAACAGGACAGGAGCCTAGCACAGAGGACCTTTGAAAGACTCTACCCAGCAGAGTATTGAAGTAGATGCTGAGACTCATAGCCAAACTTTGGGCAGAGTACAGGGAATCTTATGGAAGAAGGGGGAGATAGAAACACCTGGAGTGGACAGGAGCTACATAAGGAGAGCAGCAGAACCTAAAAATCTGGGCAAAGGGGCATTTTCCGAGACTCATACTCCAAAGAAGGACCATGCATGGAGATAACCTAGAACCCCTGCACAGATGTAGCCCATGGCAGCTCAGTGTCCAAGTGGATTCACTAGTAATGGGAACAGGGACTGTCTCTGACATGGATTTAGTGGCTGGCTCTTCAATCACCTCCCCCTGATGGGGGCCAGTCTTTTCAGGCCACAGAAGGGGACAAAGCAGCCAGTCATGATGAGACCTGATTTGCAGGGTCAAATGGAATGGGAGGAGGACCTCCCCTATCAGTGGACTTGGGGACGGGCTTGGGAGTAGGTGAGGGAGGAAGGGTGGGATTGGGAGGGGATAAGGGAGAGGGCTACAGCTGGAATACAAAGTAAATAAATTGTGATAAATAAACAAAGAAAGTGCAACAAGCCTGCTCCATGTTGTGAAATGGTGCCTCAGTGCCAAGATCACAATCACTTAAGTCTTCATCTCATCCAACTGAGAATCCATTTGAAAGGAGAAAGCCTAAACTTCTAGTAGCCCTGGCTGTCTAAGTTCATTGTAGCTTTAGTACAAGGAACCAGTTTTCATATCCCGTTGCCAGCAGAAGTTATCAGCATTTTCCAAGAGGTATTGAATGTGAAATGATGGAAGATGCAAAATGAGGTGACCATGTTGCACTACACCTCAGTTGCAGAAAAATCACTTACGTCCACACATTTTGGCAAAAGTTGAAATCTGTTCATAAAGGCCCTGGGAATTAAATTCTATGAAGTTGTAAAGGTGAATCATAAACTTACACAGAGCAATCCTACGATATTTGGCATGGAAAAACTTGGGATGCCCACTGAGGAAAGCATCAGGTACGAAGTGAACTCAGACAGAGAGAAGCTGAGCGTGCTTTAGGGTGGAATGGATGAGTGGGACTATCCATCCCTGTAACCCTGTGCATGAACCCACGTGAGCCCTGTGTGTTAGCCATGGAACCTCAGCATTTGGTGTTTCCCCTGATGGGTATGAGCTTATAGGGAACTGACATGCAAGATTATTGAACCGATATATTTGGCTGTCAAGTTGACAAAGGGTGAAGTTATGATATTTAATATTGATTACCATTTTGACAGCATCTAGAAACATCTAGGATTTAAAGCTCTAGGTATGATTGTGAATAAGTTTGTATCTTAATTAAGGTAAGTAGATATGCGTGGGGTTGCTCCATTTTTTTAACTATTGTCTTGACCAAAATTAAGATTAAGCAACAGCACTCGCAAACTTTGCTTACTCACAGCTGATATTATGCTGCAAACCATGGCACCACAACTTACCTACCATGATAGGCTGAGCCATTCTGAGGCATTTAATTTTCAGATATCTGTCTTGTCAATGAGAAGAGTAGCTAGTTTATTGTCAGGATCAGCATTACAAAGTTAACACTGCAGAGATAAGCCCCCAGACATACATATCCAAAAAGTCTTATGATGGTTTAGGTTAACTCTGAAAACGTCCATGAGAGATTGCCTCTTCATGAAAACACCAGTTTACGTTGTGGGAAGTACAATACTGGAAATTCTTTCCAACTCCTACTGCTGTTGCTTCCCTACCAAGGTGCTCTGTGAATTGATATTATGTCAAGAGGCATGCAGAAGAAACTGCAAAACAGCTCTAGAACTCACAGAATGTAGCCCACCACTTAGCAGAGCCATGATGAGTGTGTTTCGGTGGGGCCCAGCCCTTAGAAACACATGTCCTGAGAACTTCATGCTGTTATGGAGCATAGCTCTGCTTGTTATTATTTTGGGCCTCATAATCTTCCGAATATAGGAGTTTCATGATAACTCTAAGGTGGCTTCCATCTCCTGACTGGGCAGTATAACTGACATTTACAATTATCAATGCTTGATCTCAGGTATGGTTGCTGGAGCAGATTAATGATATAACCATCACCCTTGAAAAAAAATCTAGAGATGTAGATTGTTAGCAATGGCCACTACCCTTAGAAAGATTTTGGTGGGATCTAGAAAAGATCATTCTGAGTGAAGTATCCCAGAAGGAGAAAGACAAACATGGAATATACTCACTTATATAGACCTAAAAGATATGAGAAACATAATGAAATATATACACCTAAAGAAGATAATCAAGAAAGTGGACATGGGGTATGATGGTCAATCCTCATTTAGAAAGACAAACGGGATATGCATTGAACGTATGACAGGAGTCTACCGCACAAGGCATCTGAAAGACTCTATTTAGCAGTGTTCCAAAGTAGATACTAAGACTCATAACCAAACCTTCGGCAAAGTGTAGGGAATCATATGAAAGAAGGGGAGTTTGATGTGGGAAGGATAGGAACTCCACAAGGACCAAACATATCTGGGCACAGGGTCTTTTCTGAGATGGACACTCAACCAAAGACCATGAGTGGATAAAACCTAGAACGTCTGCTCAGATGTGACCCGTGATAGCTCAGTAATCAATTGGTTTCCCATAGTAAAGAGAACAACGACTATTTCTAACAGGAACTCAATGACTGGCTCTTTGACCTCCCCACCCTACAAGGGAGGAGCAGTACTGTTAGGCCACAGAGAAAGACTTTGCAGCCAGTCCTGAAAATACCTGACAAAACGGAGTCATATGAAAGGGGAGGAGGTCCTCCCCATTCTATGGACTTGGAAAGGGGCAGGGAGGAGATAAGGGAGGGGGAGTGGAATTGGGGAGGGAATGAGGGAGCGGGATACAGCTGGGATACAGAATTAACAAAATGTAACTAATAAGAAAAATAAAATTAAAAAAAGAAAGATTTTGGAAAAATAGATTGTTTAGCAAGATTAGGTAAAGATGTTTTTGTTAGAAGCTCTGATGTAGAAAATCTTAGAGAACAGTATAAAGTTCAGGAAAGTACACTCTTAATAGTAAAGCCAGGGACTGCTGAGGTTGCTGAGCATGAGAGCAATACCTCGATTAGCAGGAGCTAATGTCTCTCTCACTGAAGTTGGGCTTCAAGGTGATTAATTTCCTGTAACCATTTTTGCCCTCAGCTTCTTGTTATGATTTAATAAAAAATATGAGAGGAGATGCATACTTTAAAGATCTAAAGTAGAAATGGCTGATTGTTCTTATATAAAAGTTTAGATTTGTGATTCTTTCAAGAATTTTATAAGATCACTTTTTAAATTAATTGATTTTTTTTCTTTGTAACTGCAAACTGCAGCTTGTCAGTAAAGACAAGCTTGGTGAGAAATTACCTTGCTTTCTCACCTTGTTAATTTATAAAAAAGTTGCTTAGTTACATGTGAATACGGGTTCTTAAAAATAACTTGTTTTTCCTGTTTGTTTTCTACCCATAATACATAAAATATTTGATCATGTGAAGATTTTGGGGAGCATGTTTTTCTTAGTATACTGATTGTAAACCATTCAGGTTAAGAACAATATAATGTAGACACATTCTGATTTTTTTACTCTTGAAAGATCTTGCTGGGATATATAAGCTGTGGGGGAAA